TTAAATTAGCCATTAGTAGTATTCATTCATTCTGAAACTGAAAATTTTCACTTAAACTGATTTATTCCCTATACCACGTAAAGGGAACGTGGTGTAGGGAATAAATCAGTTTAAGTGAAAATTTGCAGTTTCTTTCAGAACGAAAGAATACTACTATTATAAGGGAAATTATAAAAAAAGCAAAAATTGTACTGTTTTATAAACATATTTATTTATACATAAAAATAAATGAACTCTGTATAATATAATAACAAAAAATAACAGTGTTTATTCCACCCACCTACCAATTTTAAATGTAGAAGAACTGACCGTTGCAGGAAACGATCGGCCAATTTTTTTAAAGGGCATTAAAAATCTCATTTTCGAAAAAACTGCCTAATTGCAATAACAAAGTGAATATCCAAGCAAAGAAGACTTTACGAGAATCATGATCCTGAACCATTTTCAAGTCCAGTTTTAATCCTAAAACAAAAGTAAAATAGGTATATTAATAAAGTTTCTGGTTACTATAACCAAGCTATAAACTCTCTACACAAAAAATGAAAAAAATTAATTGTATTAATTTGTTATGTTAAGAGAGGTTCGAAATATTTTTGACACTACTACTTCTACTTTTTTCTTAATAAGATGATAAATATAACTACTTACTTTTATTTTACCGGGTGTCTTTAACATATCTATCAGAGAAAGGGGGTACCAATACATATAAAAAAAATAGATGATACTGGCTCCTGCAGCAAAAAAAAAATAGTAAAACCTAAAATTATAAGTAACAAAATATAAATACCTATCTGGAACAAAAAAAAATTGTTCCCTATCCATATTCATTCCAGTCAATAACATGGAGAGTTTAGAAAAAAAGGCAATCACCAAAAAAAATGAACAAATATGACGAATTGTCATGATGTTGTCATCTTGGTTGTCATGATAACGAAAACGAAAAGCGATTGTTCTAATTCCTATTAAGAAATTACGTTTTATATGGCTGCTTCTTTCTCTCTTGTTATATTAGAATGAGATAGTGGGCCCAATAGACGCAATGCGCAGATCAACATAAATAGAACGAAATTTTGCGTTCTGAGTTGCGCTACGGGAACGTTGTCCCTCTCTTTGCCATTTAATTTGCCAGTCTCTTTTTATTTGTTTGTCTATGTGTGCGGTCTACATAGTATCTACGCTTAATATCCCCGAAATATATTCTTGTAATTTAAAACTGACTGTTCGAATGAGGCAAAAGCCTAACGTTTAGAAAATACAATTTGGACAGTTCGAAATTTGCATGGGATTTCCTATGCTTCCAACGACGATGTACCACCCGGTATATTATTAATAAAGTAAATAGTAATAATATAAAAGAATATTGGGAGAAACTAGAAGGGTTATAGAGAATATTAAAAAAATATTCTAGAAAAGAAAGTCTGAAAAATATTAAAACATTTTCGAATTCTTTACAAACTTAGCGGATAAAAAAAAATAAGTCAACACACTTTCTTTTAAAATACTGGATCGGTATTTTCTAATACTGGAAAGAAAACTGTCGTCGAAAAAACGGCGGCACGTAAATTTCAATAGAAAGAACTTTTCCTCGACTTCGTTTCTCAAGAAGTTCGAAATTTGTGTGAACTATTTTAGTTCCTTTGTGTCAGTCGTAAGTCGCAGAGCAAAAAATAGAACTGGACAACCGCGGTGTATTAAATTTATTGAAAGAAACTTTTAAATCGTAACGAAATGTTTAAACGAATAGATTTATGAAATAGATATTTTGTAAGATTTTTTTATTTGTAATATATCTTTAGAACAGCGCTGTATTGCATACAAAATTGTCCTTAGGGCCATGACCTGTTTGAAAATTTATTACGTCCAGTCAAGCGGTAAGAAAAATACGTTTGCCTTTGTTCATTCCATCTTGCATTGAACAATTTATTCATAAATATTTTATTGGCCGAAATAAAATATTGGCAATAATCATTCTATCAGGTAATGTTACATATCATGATTTGATTCCTAATGCAAATGCATACAAAAGAGTGTTTAAGCTAAACAAATTTGGAACTTCCATTGTCTTTTTAATTAACGTACTAACACAATATTTTAGACAGATCTATTTCTAACCTATATTAGTTTATAGTTTTAAACAGTGTCATACTCAGCCAAAATACGATAAATACGACAATATACAGGGTGGTCCGAATTGTATTAGGAAAATTTCGGCAGGATATTCTGAAGATAAAAATAAGTTAAAAAGTTCGTATGAACGTCCTAAAATGCTTCGTTTCGGAGATACGGGGTGCAGAAATTCCATTTTTATTTCGACTTTTTCCAAATAACTCGAGCTAATGCCGATATTTTGATGAAAATTGGTGTCTGGCTATTTTCTAACATGAGAAATTCGATAGATAGATTTTAACCGTTTTTTACGAAAAAAAGATCCCTTGGTAAAAATCGCTACGAGTAATAGTTCTCAAGATTTGGAATCGAAATAGTGAATACATATTATAATTGACAAAGATTATACAGGTTGACTGGATAGTCATTAGTTTGAAATAACAAATTTGAAATGTTTTTGTGCCAAAGATTCGAAAGACACGTTTTATCGATTTTTCTTCTAGAAAAATTCATGATTAGTAAAAAAAAAAGTTATTAAGTTTATTATCATTTCAGTTAATAACTATTTAGTCAACATGTTTATTTTTTGTCAATAATGACATGTACTGACTATGTTTATCCCACGTATCTTGAAATCGGTTGCTCGTGGCGATGTTCAGAAATTATTTGGAAAAAATCAACATCAAAATGAAAACTTCTACACTCTGTATCCGATACGAAGGATTTTAAGACATACATTTATACAAACTTTTTTATATTTATTTTTATCGGTAGAATGTGCTACCGAAGTATTCTGAATACAATTCGGACTATCCTATACATATATCTACAGGGTTGTTCACCACATACGACACGGAGTATTGTAGCTAAACGATTAGATTTTTACAAATTGTAAGTTTTGGGTTCGTTGAAGGACTATTAGAGCTACAATTTAAAAATATTTTTACAAGATACAGAGTGTCCCAAATAAATAAAAAATATCAAAGTTGTATTTTTTTAAATGGAACACCCTGTATTATTGCATTTTCAGTTTCTGCAGATTAAAATAAAGGTAAATTTGATTAAGGTTTATTACACTTAAACCTTACCGTTTTTGAAATATTTTCAATTTTACGAAATTGCAGTATAAATTTTAAGGCTTCATTTCTCCGAGGATATCAAAGTTTTTAATACTAAATATTTACTGAAGTTTATTTATTGATCAGTTATTGTGTTGCAATAATAAAAATTATACTACCTTATACAGAGCGTCTAAAAATTTATTTTAAATAATTACTAGCTTTAAACGGCAATAACTTATTTACTTTAAATAGAACACCCTGTATATTTTATGAGAATCAAATGCACAATTTAATTGTCTATCAAATTGTATTATACCATTTTTTACCTATACCTTTAAGTTTTCGTAGAAAATGCATTTTCTTATAATTTAGACCTCATTTATCAATATACCCATGGAATATTGACATTTTAGATTGTTTTTATAACAACAAATGTACAAAATGTACAGACTAGTAATATTATCGTTTTTACTAAAACGATAATATTACTAGCCCATTTGTATGCTAAAAGAAAACTATTTAAATCTTTATAAAAGAGTACACCATTAATTAAATATACCACCAGTATTTCCGCCCAAATACTAATTAACTACATACTTAATTGTGTTCGTTAATAAATTATTCTAAATAAATGTGGATTTGAATCAAAAATCAATATAATAATAAGTTATAAAAATGAACGTCTCTGTTGTTATAAATAAGCATTTGTCAACAAATTAAATATAATGTTTAAGGTGTTACTTTTTACCACACTGTCTAATACACATACATAATTCAGTTTTTTAGTATTTGGAGCAATTATTATTAATCAACGCAAACAGTCAATTAATGTAGTTTGAATACTGAAATCATATTAATTGGTCCTCTTTAACAAATATTTAAACATTTTTTTTTTATTTTTTAATGGAATAAACGAACTATATCGACAATATTAGTATCTGTACTCTTTAAAAATTTGGTACATCTTTAAAAATAATCTAAAATGTCGGTCTTCCATGGGTATATTGATAAATGAGTTCTAAATTACAAGGAAATGCATTTTCTACGGAAACTTGAAGAGATAGGTAAAAAATGGTATAATACAATTTGATAGACAATTAAATTGTGCATCTGATTTGCATAAAATATACAGGGTGTTCTATTTAAATTAAACAAGTTATTGCCGTTTAAAGCTAGTAATTATTTAAAATAAATTTTTAGACACTCTGTATAAGGTAGTAAAGTTTTTATTATTGCAATACAATAACTGATCAATAAATACATTTCAGTAAATATTTAGTATTAAAAACTTTGATACCCTCGGAGAAATGAAGCCTTAAAATTTATACTGCAATTTCACAAAATTGAAGATATTTCAAAAACGGTAAGGTTTAAGTGTAATAAACCTTAATCAAATTTACCTTTATTTTAATCGTAGAAACTAAAAATGTAATAATATATAGGATGTTCCATTTAAAAAAAATATGCTTTGATATTTTTTATTTATTTGGGACACTTTGTATCTTGTAAAAATATTTTTAAATTGTAGCTCTGATAGTCCTTCAACGAACCCAAAACTTACAATTTGTAAAAATCTAGCCGTTTAGCTACAATACTCCGTGGCGTATGTGGTGAACAACCCTGTATAACCAAATTTATTGTATTTGTTTGATACACACTCTATATAAATTATAAAGGCCATAATAGTTAAGAAGTTCGAAATTTATTAAACGTATTTTCTGATTCCTTGATTACTATAAAAGGTACTACTGATTATTAGATAAAAATCGAGGTTTTTGTATAGATGCGTTTAGAATTTCTATAACCCGTAAGTCTCCTATCAATCCTTCTTACCTTAAACCCGTCATACGTCCAGCTACCAAATTTCAGGACGCATGTCTGCTCATCAAATGGAAAGTATTCGACATCGATCTCGCACGACGACTTGTATATCGCCGGAGGCTTCCATTCCACGAGACCCTGATGGTAAATGGTAGCTTTTGTTGCGAGGGTCACCTCGAAATTGCCGTCTGCGCTAAAATTTTCGTTTTCTATAACCTCCTGATTGATGGGTACTGTTTCGGGAAGAAGGGGAATTTGGAGACAGAATGGCTTGGTAATGTTACGTTAGTGCTCCACTGAGGTAAAGCTGAGAAGCTGTGTGATATGGAATGCGTGTGAAAGATGAGAATGATGTGAGTTATGCAAGTGTGAATAATATTGAAATAGCGGTTGTAACATAGACTTAAAATAAAATATAGACTACACTATTTACATCTCAACGCGGTCACACAATCTTTTTTGTACACATGTTTACTTCTGGGTACAGTCGACCGAGCCTTCCTCATCCAGCCTATGTTGTCACGTCTTTAATATTATCAATATTTTTTTTTTGTTATACGCATATATTGAGATATTAATACTACAGGTTAATAAAGTAGGTTTTAATATTCCATAGATGTATTAAATAGTCCTTATACTACTGAATTATAAGTCGGATACTGTTTAAAAAGGATAAGTTCTTTACAATATGACAACACCGATTAGTGGCGAGGGAGCCTATTCATTCATTTATTACCTTGTAGTACGCGTCGCACGTGTGCGGTAAAGCTTTGTTGCCGCTACGTCCCCGGCTGTATTAACGCATTTTCTTAGCTTGTAGTCCTAAAGTGTTTATTTTATTGACTTTTTCTGTTCAAGAACTATAAAATATGGTTCGCCAGTGCCAAATTTACAAGAAATTTGACTTAAATAATCCATTTAAGTCTTGAACGACTTTCGACCGGTAGGCAACTCTGAATTTACCCATTAGGAGTCAGTGGCGTTGTTGTAGAAAGGCGCTTATTTAGATAATATTTTAGTAAAATGTAAAATCTGAATTTTTTCTCTTACATTACATTATTTACTTACTTACATTGTAACAAAATCATAATTATAACCCTGTTAATAATTAATAATGTTTTTATTAAAAATATATTCCGGTTTATTCTAAAATTATCTTGAGAATCTAAAATAACATACAAGAATTTTAAAATGATATTACATTATGAAACAATATTTTTTAATATACCGGGTCGTCTCAAAAGTGGCTCACCCCTATAACTTTTTTATTTTTTCAGATAAAAAAAAACAGATTTGTATGTTAGTAGGTATATGACATAAATTAGGATTTATTGACATATTCAATTGTTTTTGGTCTCTTCCTGTTTCACCGAAATGATTACATCTTTTGATTTTTAAAGGCACCTTCGGTATATTGCTACTTTATTCGATAAAAAATGACACTCTGAATAGAATGACATATCATATGTCAACTTTTGACATTGTCGCTTAAAAACAAATCGTATTTTAAATTTCAATCCAGGGTGCCATGGTGTTGTTAAAAACACTAAGTTTTAATCAAGGAGCGTTGAAAAAATAGTTTTGATCGTCTAATGGGTTTCGTGTTTTGTCTAGGCCGGTTAAAAGATGTACAAATCGTATTTTTATCATACATATGTCAATTTTTTCAAACGATACAAGGGTGACTCATTAGCATATTTGGAAAAAGCATTTTTTTATGAATATATTGATACCACACACTTGGTATTTCGAGTCAAATTGTCGTTATGAACCGCGTGATACAATTACAATTAAACCATATGCGAAAATGTCAAAAGTTGACATATGATATGTCATTTTATTCAGAGTGTCATGTACCGAGGGTGCCGTTTAAAAATTAAAAGTTATAGTTATTTCCTGTGAAACAGGAAGTGACCAAAAACAATTAAATGCGTCAATCAATCCTAATTTATGTCATATACTAACATACTAAATCTTGTTTTTTTATTTGAAAATATAAAAAAATTATGGGGATGAGCCACTTTTGGGACGCACCCGGTATAATAAAGACAGTACCGAGTTAAATAAATGTAGTTTTCATTTTATCCACTTCCTATCACCTTCCTTGCATTAATGGAACAGATTTATGTTTTCTCTAATTTACATAATAAGACATCACTTAACCAGAAAAAAATTACAACAATCATATTTGTTTTTCTCTCCCTGTCGCCGATTCTATTTATCTGTGGAATAGATCCTATTTTGATTAATATTAGGGGTTGTAAATGTTTGACTAAAATTAATAATTTATTATTAATTTCAAAAATTACGTAATTTCGATTATAAAATTTCTTCTATAACGTGTATTTTATTATTTTTATCCTTTTTGGACTCTAAGACGTTTTTTCTAAATTTTTTTAAAAAACCTATCCTAAATCTTAATAAAATATAAAAAAGTTTAAATACGATATATTTTTAATTTAATTATAGCTTCATTAAAATAAAAAAAATACCCGGCTATGATACGGAGAGTTCAGGTGTACTTGAGAAACGAAAGACAGTGTTGTGTTTCTCGGCAGAGTCGTCAGGGAACGACCGTTACGACAGAGACAACCTATCTATCGCTCGTGTCGCACTCGTTATAACCTAAGACAATAACACAACAATAACAAGACATTGTCTGACCGCATGTTCCAGCTATTTATGAATGAGATGCTCAGTCTATATTTTATTTTAAGTCTATGGGTTGTAAGCATTGCACGAAAATATAAGATTCATTAATTTTCTATCAGAAAATTATTAGTTCGAATTACTGTAGTAAATAAATCATAAATAACATTAACTTATACAGGGTGTTTCAAGAAACGCGTGCCATCTCTCGTTAGGAGATTCCTTACGTAAAAATAAAATTTGGTTTTTATATGCTGCTTTGTTTCGTAGCTAGAGACTTCTTTTCTCTTGTTAGCAAAATTTTGTAGGTCCTTGGAAAATAATTATAATAAACGATTCAATTTAATAACTAATTTAATTAATTTACGAATAATGAAATAATTATAAAACTAAATATATGTACTTACATATTATATTTATGGACGAACATCATCACTGGCTCGGGGGACATCCTTGACAATATGAAACATAAATCTTATTTTTACGCGAGCACAATCTCCTCACGAGAGATGACATATGTTTGAAACACCCTGTATACGAACGATAATTACGTCACAGTCTAAAATCCTATTAAAAACTCGACGATAAATTGGAAAAAGAGACCGCAAACTGTAATAAAATTTGAAATTAAACGGCACCGCTCCAGTTTGACTGGGACAAAATGATATTCATGATTTCTCTAGATAATAACCTTCGTTCCGGAGACGCTTCAGAAAACTATTCGGCTCCGGCGGATATTGCATTTTGTGACGCAATTAGGAGCCTCAATTTTCTCCTTTTTTCATTTCCGAACGGATTAGACGAAAATTGCACTCTATCAGAATAATGATCTTTATTGATGGATACACATACTAACTTTGAAAACAGATAACTACTATGAGTTTTTGATTATTTTTTTTTATCAATAACTAAAATGAAAGAAATATTTTAAATTGGACTTAGAATAGGTATAGTGTATTTATCTCTAGGGAAACATCATTTTTTCTGTCTTTACCACAAGTATGGCTGCATAGAAAAAGATATACTTTATTGAAACTAAAACAGTTTCGAACATCCATTGTCTTTATTTTTAAACGGTTTTATTTAGCTCGACCCGTACGGTATTTATTTATTTGTTTGGGTCAAAATTAGAAATTGAAATTTAAGTACCTTCCTGTTGTCAGATTGATCTGAAATTTGGTACACACCTTTAGTTCCGATGACAATACAATATAGTAATATCAATAACATTGTAAATCTAAGATGGCCGCCGGTACAAAATGGCGGATTTCATATTTTTCCACAACCCCCTCAATATGGGTATCAAATGAAAGGGCTACACTAGTAGAATACTGTGATTATGACAAAATTTAAAATCCAAGATGGACGTCGTTACAAAATGGCGTATTAGGTGAGGGCATGAGTAGTCGTGTCCAAGATTGTGTGACGTTAGAAGGACAGATAAAAAAAAATAGGTGATGAATTTGTGAAAATGTTGCGGTCCAACATTGACGTTACAAAAGGATTGGTAAATGGTGCTATAGGCCACATTACAGAAATTGTTGGGCCTCAGTTCCGTCGAACCCAAATGTACGAAACAGATGTACCATCAGTTTGGATGGACTTTGGCAGAGACGGCATACACGTTATACACCCGAAAGCCATACAGTTTCCAGCAAAATTCAATTATGGTACGGCTGAAAGAAGGATGTTACCCTTAATTTTGTCATGGGTATCCACCGTCCATAAAATGCAGGGCAGCACAGTCGACCATGCAGTAGTGTATTTGGGCTCAAAATTGTTTGAGGAAGGGCAAGCATACGTGGCTCTAAGTCGAGTCAAGTCTCTGGAAGGGCTATATATTGAGGAATTAGATTGTAATAAATTATCAGGTAAAACCATGCAATAATGATGCACTAAATGAATTAAATAGAATGAGGAATATTCGGTAGGCATTTCCGTTAAATACTAAAAACTAGAAAATAAAAAATCGGTAAAAAACTTTTAAGTTAAACGGTTTTATCTTACGTGCACTGAAAACTAGAAAATAATAATAACAATTAGGTATTTTGAACTTCTAGTTCAGAAATATTTTAGTACTAGGCAGAATAGCTTTTAGGCATATTAGACTAAAATAAAACGTGGGGCCCCTCTGAAATCCTACCTATGGCAAAGTATATCTTTATATACTTTGGTAGATCATGAGCTCGGCGTTCGCTGGTGAAGCCGCCACGGCTGGTTATTGATTGTGAAAATCTCCAGTTACGATTATAGTAAGTCGATGCAATCCACACTTAGTATAGAAGAAAGTATTGCAGCAATAATTAATGGGCCCCACGTTTTTATTTTAGTCTAATATGCCTAAAAGCTATTCTGCCTAGTACTAAAATATTTCTGAACTAGAAGTTCAAAATACCTAATTGTTATTATTATTTTCTAGTTTTCAGTGCACATAAGTTAAAACCGTTTTTTAGTTATTTTTACCGATTTTTTATTTGATTAATACGTTTCGGTCATAACGATCACTGACTGTTATCAAGTGTAATCTAATCTAATTCCTAAAATTACTGCTTTACAGCTTTTATACTACAGCCAGGCATTCACCGGTGAAGAAGTTTGGTGTAGTCAACCGAGGCTGTCTGTGTAAATTTTCTGTATACAGAATCCTTAATAGATCCCCCATTTCTGTTAACAAGGACATCTAGAAACGAACGACACAATTCTTTCTCTTTCTCAATCGTAAATCTGTTGGAATCATTTTGTGAATTGAGATGTATGAAAAACCGAAACGTTGTGTTAAAAAAATAAATAAAAACAATGAATGTCCGAAATTCTTTTAGTTTCAATACTGAATTATTCTATACCACATTCATAGTAAAAATATACCTGTTTCTCTAACCCATTTAGAATCATCTGGAACAAATCTGTGTCCTTTTGTTTTCTATAGTCTATTTTTATATTTTACCTGATATTTATTTTTATTAGTATATAAGTGTTAATATTTATTTTACAAAATTCTTTTTGTAAAATAAACGTATATCTTTCCAACCCTGTAAATTAATTTAACTTGCAATTACATTTATCAGACAGAATTATATTTGAGTTATTCCAAAGTTATGCGGACATACGTGTATTGAGCGAAAGCGTCAGCAACTCTTCTAATGTATAGATATAACCAAACTTTGATATTTGAAAAGTTTAACAGTAATTCTCTCGTATACAGGTAAGATTTTATAGGGGAGAGTTTCGAAGCGCGCGTATTAGTTTGCACTGATGTAAAACTTTACCACGAAGTTGACAGATAGAGAAAGAAAGTTTCTGCTTTACCTGTCAAGTAAAATTAGAGAAATATTACTTTTCGTCGCGCTTTCTCAAATTGCCTTATTTGAAAGCTACACTGTACAGTAGCTAAGTATAGCAAAATATTATTAAAATGCTTGATATAAAATCGGTTGGTTTAAATTAACGACTACTTTATCTTGTGCTGCTTGACCACAAAACCAAGTTCCGTCATAGTCAAGAAGCTCTTTTTTGATGTAGTACTGATTATATTGTGTTCGGTAATTATTTTGATAAAAATTGTAAGGTCTTTTATAAGTTTAATGTTCGATTTTTTATAACTAAACTAAGTTTAATTTTAGGTATATATTCAAATGGCATCGTCTATAAAATACACAGTTCATTCTAGGAACGCTGATTTGAATAAAAGGCATAAATCAAAACTTGAACTCAGACGGGACGATTTTAACTAATAATTATAATTAAGCCTTTAATATAATCTTCCCTAGACTAAGAGAACAAGGGATTACACAAATAAATTTAATTACATTTGGTTTTGAAATGTTACGTTCTCACAGCCCCTTTATCTATTCTAAGTTTATAACTCATTGTCATTTTTCTTTGAAATTAATTACATTTTCCTTTTATGTTTGGAATGTGAATAGACAAAAAATAATTTATATGATAAAATAAACAGTTGATATAAAAAAAATCTTATTTTTACGTGAGTAATCTTCACACCAGTGATGGCAGATGTTTAGTAGATTTTAAAGTACCCTGTATTTTTTTGTAAAATTCGTCCTGCAAAATGTAATTTATCATTGTAATTATGTTTTTCATGATTTTACCAACATAATTAGATTTTTTTTTGTTTATCGATTTATTTCGGTACCGGTTAATAATAGCTACGAAATTTAAGGTAAATGTGCAGGTGACCAAAAGACATTTATGTCACATAGGCTGTCAAGCGCGAACCATATATCAAAATTTTAGTTTTAGTAAGGCACTTAAATACATGAGAAATGGAACTATCATATAATTATGGGGAGAACGAAGGAAAAAAATCTGTTTTGGTTCATCGAATATACGAGATAAAGAATCTCATCAGTTATCTTCGGGAGCAGCTTATTTTGGAGAAAAAGCTTTTGGAAATAGAAAGGCACGGTGCCGGATCTCATGATAAGATATCAGTGAAGGTATTCCCAAAATATTTATTATTTTATTTATAAAATCTGTCCAGTGGACTCGAATATAATTTACTTGTAAATTCAAAATAGAAAAAAAAACAACTGTCATTCTCATGTTCAAACTATTTTTTGCAACCAAAATGGAACGCTTTGCCCAACGACAAAATTACGGTATCTTTTGCTCGATCTAGGTCGCTCTGAAAACAGTATCAAGCAATAAAAGTTCCCGTTGACCGCAACCACAGCATAGATAAAGCATCATGCACCACGAAGCAAATATTCTTTATGTTATGCTGCAGTAAAAAAAGCAGGATTTCTGCCAGTCGTACTCGCATTTTATTGCTATATTTTATAAAGTAATGTCCAATACCTACTTAACTAATTGCTTATTTTAAAATGCATATTATATCTCATGATTAAGAAAACAAACATGTAAATATACACTCACCGGCACGAAAAACGGAAACCTTAAAATTCTGATATATTATATTTTTTTTATAAATATTTTTCTTATTAGGCAACCCCGCCATAGCAATCTCGTGTTGCGTGCTATTCGACGCCCTTTAATTTTCGTCTCCGATCATCCTGACGCTTTAATCGAATTAACGTCTGAGTCTCAGCTTAACGGCGAAGGCGTTCATTGTCTTGCCGACAACCAAAGGGCAGGACTGAAGTTCAGTTGACATGCTGTCGATAATGGCGACGAGTAATTGACAGTGACATAATTATCTGGTTGGCTAATAAAGACGTCTAGTAATTACCGTTACATGAATTGATATAGTCTATAAAATGAATAACTTTGAATTTTGACGGTTATTTTTTACCAACATGGCAAATATCAAATCCCTCTGTCCAAAAAGTTACTGATATTCTTTAAAATGAGTGCCTGAACGAATCAGATAGGTAACTCTTTTTACTTTCGTGAAATAGAAAAGGAAAATAATAAAACAAGTGACAGTTCTTCCTCTTCTTGCAAAAATCGACACGAAATGTCATAATTGACAAAAGAAAATGTCATCAGCTTTTGACATTTCTAAATATCAGCCCAATGCCGTCTCTAATAGAACAGCCTCGGAGCGAGCTTTATGACGTCACGCTAGTTAGATACCACGGATTAATAAATATGTTGTAGAATACATGGAAAACATAATTATTCCTCGTATTTTTGGTTTGTATTTTAAAAATGATATAGTATACATGAAATATACATAATATACAGTTAATAAATACAATACATATACCTATTTCTAGTAATAAATACTTTGGCAAATAAACTATGAACCATACAAATGCAGCAAATGTTTTACAATATACAAATAATGAATAGGTACATAAGATAATGGGTAAAATGTAAAATATATTTTAAATTTTGGGGTTTGAAAATCGATCTAATTTAACAAAAAACATTCAATATCTACTAATAGTGATATATTATTATTTGCATTCACAAAATTTATATGTATATTTTGAAAGCATCAAAATTATATTTGCAAATAATACCATATCATAGAAAAAAAGGCGTCAGCGATGGCTATGAAATAAAGATCGCTGTCATTTTATATGTAAAATTATTCTAGAATTTTTGATTTTCTTGGGATTTAGGTTCGGGAAAAACGCTAATTAAGTTTTCATTATTTCTTTTGGTTTAAAAAAAAACGTTATAGCTAACGTTTATAGCCTTCATCAGTGTTGTGTCATATGAAAAAAATAGTGTCGAATATAATCCATAAAATTATATATACGAGGAATAATTATGTTTTCCATGTATTCTACAACATATTTATTAATCCGTAGTATCCAACTAGCGTGACGTCATAAAATTCGCTCCGTGGCTGTTCTATTAGAGACGGCATTGCATCAGCATGGCCGCAAGTTGCTAGCTTAATAAAATTAACACTAGGAAAGCCCGCGGGAACTGTCAAATTCAAAGTTATTCGTTTTACAGACTTTACCAACAGAATACGTTATAATATTCTGTGTAGATATTTCAAGAAAAAGTCTCTGGGTAGGTATTTCGCCACTTTTCGGAAACGAATACGCCTAATCGTAAAAGACTGTGATTTTTAATCTTTTTCCATCCGTATACTCACGTGCAGGTTATTATATAGTTTAAATAATATTGCATTTTATGACAACGCATCGATTACATGTTTGTTTGATTGCTTAAGAGACCTTTTCTTGTCTGAAATAAATCTGAGTTAGGTTTTGATTAGTTTAAAGTAGCGATGGGAACTATCGAATGAATTAGACTATCGAATGGTTAATGAATGAATGATTTCAACTATCAAATGGTTTTATTCGAATAAAATCATTCATTCATTTGTATACTAAAGCATATGTGACAACCTCGCCGTGCGACCAAATGGTTATCGTTGCGCCACGACTATCGAATGCTTTTGATAAATGAAAAATGAAATTTAGTATTCGTTTGATTTTTGTATGCGTCAGTATGGCATTATTAGTTCTTCCAAATTTTTATAACTTCGCCGTATAAATACTGTGCTATTTTTGCGTTTATTAAAATAGTTAAAATACTAAAATAGTAGTTATTTTTTAATTTTATTTATTGACGATTGTGTGCATGTGCAGGTGGTCAAAATTTTTCCGAAAATTTGTATGGTTTTCCGTAGTCCGATCTTTCAATTATTTAATTTTATATGGTATATGGTCTATTTTTTAATGGGAAATTTTGAGAAGTAGCAATTTTTAAGAGAGATGATATGAACTTTGAATTAATTTTAAAAATACATATTTGTATTTTAGATGTTTTAATAATATGAATTAGTTGAACTTAATAATCATATTTAAGTAATGTGGTTAAGTAAATGGTTATCGAACTCAAACTATGGGGTGAGAAAATTAAAATGAAAGTTTTAAACGTGTAAATTTAAAAAAAAAATTAACGATGTTTGTATTTTGTTTATGCTAATTCTCTTACATGTAGTTTTTTGCGAAGAAATATTTCATTTATTTTTTAAAGTAAATGCCAGTAAAAGTAAATATAATTTTTAAATAGTAATATAAAGCACCTAATATAAATAATTTTGATTTCTAATTTTTTATTTATATTTTCGTTCCATTACACTACATGCTTAGAAAATTAATAAATGTTTATATTTCATGATTTTAAAATTTGTTGTTAATATAACAAATTAGTTCTGTAATTATTATTAAATAGGATCTAATATAAATAATTTTGACATCTAATTTGTTGTTTATATTTTGCTACTACTAAAAAAAAATATTTATATTAAATCATTTTAAATTTTGTTGTTAATAGGTATAACAAATTATTGCTGTTATTATTATTTATTAAACCAGTCTTTGCTTAAAAACATTAAAAATCATTTTCTTACATCCAAAATAACAAGTATTATTGCAGTGTAACAACAGAATATTAATAAAAAAAAATGCAGAATATATAGACATACTATCCCTAACTAACTAAAGCCAAACAATAATATTCTTTGCTAATATCAACTAATACCAAAATATGGCAACAGCGCCCTTCATAATGTATTTTCTGTGTAAATACTAGCACCTCAATAAAAAAAATAATGTGTCCTTATCTATATCTGACTCTGCAAAAATCAAAGATGCCGGCTTCTTTCATAGCATTGCCACCGACCGCTGTCGGGTTTCTCGGAAAGAAACCTACGTCGCCGGGCGACAACTAAAATTCAGTTAATATTTTATTATAATCGATCCTGACAAATAAATGAATTTCATAAATGAATGAATTTTATAAATGAATGGTTTTTGCTGCCGAATTACTAGAATACAATATTTCAAGGCAGATGACGGATCTATTCGATAATTTTTATTCGAATAGTTTTCAACGAATGTTTTCTTACTATCGAATTATTCGAATGAATTGCAACTATCGAATGTTTCGATAGTATTCATTCGATAGTTCCAACTACTAGTTTAAAGTGTTTGTTTTATACTGGTCCATATTTGAGTAACTATTCCATATTTAGGTGCCTTTATGTTCAATTTGTTTTTGAGAAAAAAGTTGTTTTAAATTAAAAATTAAAAAAAAAATCTTAAAACACAAAAGAAACTATAAAAAATACTAATTAATAAGCCTAACAATAACTAATCAGAAAAAACTTTAGTTTTTTAGTAGATGCGTCTTTTAAAAACCTTTTGGCATTCTAAAAAACTGACGTTACATGAAATAATTTTAGATTATTTTTTTTTTAAGTTTTCCACTAATCTCAGTTGTAACAGTAACCGACGCTATCACCTGGGGCAAAATTATTTTGTTGTGCTATAATGACTTTAAACTTGAGAGGATTAGTCGATTCGTGTGACGATCCCCTTGGGACAAACTTGTTAACGTCAGGATTTCATACGGTTCTCGAGAAAATAGCTAAAAGCAAGAAAGGGATACAGTCCCTTTAAAGATAACGCCTAGAGGAATTGCTTACTTACCAACATATTACGTTCGTTCTATGATAAATTTACATTTTCTGTGTTATGGTAAATATCTTGATAAATATAAATATCTAGTTTTTACACGCGGTTTAGTCCGCATAAAATTCGAATTATATTAATATGAAGTATAATATTTATTATAGCACCTAGTGAAAGCAAAATGTGGAAGTACTTATTGCCTGTGTCCAGTTGTAATTGATAGACTAAGAATAAATATAGTCGTTTGACAGAATTTAACCAAACTGTGTGTTATTTTTCAACATTATTGTTACATTTCGGAAAAAATGTTAATTTCTTCTTAATGTTTACGCAAAGAAAATAATTTATAAATCCAATCTATTACAGGAACCCTCCTCAACATCGGTTCATCGAGAACCATCTATCTTATTGGATAAAAGCAATTTAAAAGAAATCGAATCTAAGTGTACAACGGAATTATACAAGTTTGACGAATATATTTCAAATATCCGTCAGCTTAAATCAAATTGGTGAGTATATTAATATTAATGGTAGTTACTGCACAATTTATCATAATATGAATTGCATCGAAATTTAATAAACGTTTTTAGAATGAAAAATAATTTTCTGATTTAGCGAGAGTTACCATTAATCTTTCTAGCGTAACGTTTTAAATTGAAAAAATTGTTTGAGTTGAGAGTTTTATTTTATATTGGTTGCAGGTAATTTCTTAACATATATTATATATACATATACAGGGTTGTTCACCACATACGACACGGAGTATTGTAGCTAAACGATTAGATTTTTACAAATTGTAAGTTTTGGGTTCGTTGCAGGACTATTAGAGCTACAATTTAAAAATATTTTTACATATATACAGAGGATACAGAGTGTCCGAAATAAATAAAAAATATCAAAGTTGTATTTTTTTAAATGGTATAAACACCCTGTATATTATTACATTTTTAGTTTCTACGATTAAAATAAAGGTAAATTTGATTAAAGTTTATCACACTATAACCACACCTTACCGTTTTTGAAATATTTTCAATTTTGTGAAATTGCAGTCAAAATTTTAAGGCTTTATTTCACCAAAGGTATCAAAGTTTTTAATACTAAATATTTACTGAAGTCTATTTATTGATCAGTTATTGGGTTGTAATAATAAAAATAATACTACCTCATACAGAGTGTCTAAAAATTTATTTTAAATTATTTCTAGCTTTAAACGGCAATAACTTGTTTAATTTAAATGGAACGCCCTATATATTTTAGGAGAATCAGATGCACAATTTAATTGTCTATCAAATTGTATTACGCCACTTTTTACCTATCCCTTCAAGTTTTTGTATAAAATGCATTTTCTTATAATTTAGACCTCATTTATAGACCTAATTTAGACCTCATTATAAATTGTCAATATACCCATGGAATATTGACAGTTTAGATTGTTTTTAAAGCAACAAAGGTACAAAATGTACAGGCTAGTAATATTATCGTTTTTAGCAAAATGAAAATATTACTAGCCCATTTATATGCAAAAAGAAAACTATTTAAATCTTTATAAAAGAGTATACCATTAATTAAATATACCACTATTATTTCCGCTCAAATACTAATTAATTACATACTTAATTATGTTCGTTAAAAATTATTCTAAATAAATGTGGATTTGAATCAGAAATCAATATAATAATAAGTTATGAAAATTGATTGTTGTCTGTTGTTATAAATAAGCATTTGTCAAAAAATGAAATATTATTTTTAAGGTGTTCCTTTTTACCACACTGTCTAATACACATACAAAATTCAGTTTTTTAGTATTTGGAGTAATTATTATTAATAAACGCAAACAGTCAATTAATCTAGTTTGAATACTGGAATCATATTAATTGGTCCTCATTAACAAATATTTAAACAGTTTCTTTTTAATTTTTAATGAAACAAACAAACTATTAGTATCTGTACTCTTTAAAAATTTGGTACATCTTTAAAAATAATCTAAAATGTCAGTATTCCATGGGTATATATATTGATAAATGAGTTTTAAATTACAAGAAAATGCATTTCCTACGGAAACTTGAAGAGATAGGTAAAAAACGGTATAATACAATTTGATAGATAATTAAATTGTGTATCTGATTCTCATAAAACATAGAGGGTGTTCCATTTAAATTAAACAAGTTATTGCCGTTTAAAGATATTAATTATTTAAAATAAAATTTTGGACACTCTGTATAAGGTAGTACAATTTTTATTATTGCAGCACAATAACTGATCGATAAATAAACTTCAGTAAATATTTAGTATTAAAAACTTTGATACCCTGGCAGAAATGAAGCCTTAAAATTTTGACTGCAATTTCACAAAATTGAAAATATTTCAAAAACGGTAAGGTTTAAGTGTAATAAACCTTAATCAAATTTACCTTTATTTTAATCGTAGAAACTAAAAATGTAATAATATACAGGGCGTTCCATTTAAAAAAATACAACTTTGATATTTTTTATTTATTTGGGACACTCTGTATCTTGTAAAAATATTTTTAATTTGTAGCTCTAATAGTCCTTCATCGAACCCAAAACTTACAATTTGTAAAAATCTCATCGTTTAGCTACAATACTCCGCGTCGTATGTGGTGAACAACCCTGTATGTTAAGAAATTAAAACCACGAATTAAGAGTTACTTTATAGTTATCGATAATTTAATTGTTGTGTTATGCTAGTCAGTAGTATACTTATTATATTATTTAGTTTGTTTTTATTTTACAAAATGTTCTTCTTGCATCGAACTACACTCACCGGCACGAAAACCTTAAAATTTTTCACAACCTTAAAATTTTCCACCAAAAAGTCAAATAATTTAGCTACAAATTGCTTAAAAAATCATCAAAATCGGTCCACTGCACTAGAACAAAATCTAAAAAACTTTAAAATACATCAAAATTTTAAGGTGCGCGTTTTTCGTGCCCGTAAGTGTAGATTATAATAAATTTTTCTTTTTTATTGTTATCGTTCTTCACGCAGAATTTTCTATAATTTTAATTTACTATGTAACATAAAGTAGAGAATGTTTTTGTTAAATGTTTGATTAAATTTCAGGATTAAAATGAGAGAAAACGAGAAATTGCGAAAGGAAAAATACTCGAATGATGCCAGCATTCCGAAAAATCCGAAAGGCAGAGTTTTCTACGTTGATAGCCAACTGTATTAGTGCTATCGTACGTTTGATGAACCGTAAACAATGCCGATGTAAGTTTAACAGGATGGATATTGCTTCACGAGGGATGCATTTTATGCGTTGATGTGGATATTGCTCCCAAATTAAAATCGTTATTTGCTACAGTTATTTGATTTCCGTGTAAAAAAAGTCTGTAAATAAAATGCTTCCGTTACACAAAAAGAGTTTTTATTCTACAATATTGTGTTTTAGTGGACCGATTTTGATTATCTCTTAAGCAATTTGTAGGTAGATTATTTCACTTTTTAGTATCTCTTAAATAAATAAAATTACGGAAAAATGTTAGTGTCTTTTTCAAAAGAGAATATCTCCAACAAAAATAAAGCTATTGAGATAAACCAATAAAAAATCGGTAAAAAAACTTTTAAGTTAAAGGGTTTTATCTTATGTGCACTGAAAACTAGAAAATAATAATAACAATTAGGTATTTTGAACTTCTAGTTCAGAAATATTTTAGTACTAGGCAGAATAGCTTTTAGGCATATTAGACTAAAATAAAAACGTGAGGCCCCTCCGAAATCCTGCCTATGGCAAAGCATATCTTTATACTTTGGTAGATCATGAGCTCGGCGTTCGCTGGTGAAGCCGCCACGGCTGGTTATTGATTGTCAAAATCTCCAGTTACGATTATAGTAAGTCGATGCAATCCACACTTAGTATAGAAGATAGTATTACAGCAATAGTTAATGGGCCCCACGTTTTTATTTTAGTCTAATATGCCTAAACGCTATTCTGCCTAGTACTAAAATATTTCTGAACTAGAAGTTCAAAATACCTAATTGTTATTATTATTTTCTAGTTTTCAGTGCACATAAGATAAAACCGTTTAACTTAAAAGTTTTTTTACCGATTGTTTATTTAATATATGTTTTTTTTAAATAGAAAAAGATATTAAGTATATGTAATAAAATTAAAATATTTTAAAGATTGTGTAACTTTAAATTTTTTTAATATAAATATTCTGATATATAAAGTTTGCAGAAATCCCTCAGAAAATTGTTTGCGGTTTCCATTAGTTTTTTCAATATTTCATCACAATATTTTTAGAATATTCCGACGTAAACGAGACATTGTCAACACAAAATTCAATTTTCTTCTGTCAAGAAACACGGCTTCGGGGTTAAGTCACTCCATAATTTCGCGGCGTTTTGTAGTTTATAGATAAGCACTTAAGAGAGATATTAAGTTAACTTTTATGATGGCGTAAAATTTCATATCGTGTAAATACCGGAAATACCTCGAGCCATAAATAAAGGCTCAGCTGACGAATTAAAAATGGCGGAAATGGCGGGATTTTATACCTCTGTAAATACTCGTCTTTTGTGAGCTATGTCCTAAAAAAAAGTTGGGGATTACAGGGTTGTTCACCACATACGACACGGAGTATTGTAGCTAAACGATTAGATTTTTACAAATTGTAAGTTCTGGGATCCTTGAAGGACTATTAGAGCTACAATTTAAAAATATTTTTACACGATACAGAGTGTCCCCAATAAGTTATAAATATTATAGTTGTATTTTTTAAATGGAACACCCTGTATATTATTCCATTTTTGGATTCTACGATTGAAATAAAGGTAAATTTGATGAAGGTTTATCACACTTAAACCTTACCGTTTTTGAAATATTTTCAATTTTATGAAATTGCTGTAAAAATTTTAAGGCTTCATTTCTCCAAGGGTATCAAAGTTTTTAATACTAACTATTTACTGAAGATTATTTATTGATCAGATATTGTGTTACAATAATAAAAAATTTACTACCTTATACAGAGTGTCCAAAAATGTATATTAAATAATTATTAGCTTTAAACGGCAATAACTTGTTTAATTTAAATGGAACACCCTATATATTTTACGTGAATCAGATGCACAATATAATTGTCTATCAAATTGTATTATACCATTTTTTACCCATCTCTTCAAGTTTTTGTAGAAAATGCATTTTCTTAGAATTTAGACCCCATTTATCACAATACCCATGTAATATTGACATTTTAGATTATTTTTAAAGATGTAACAAATTTTCAAAGAGAACAGATACTAATATTGTCGATATAGTTCGCTTATTTCATTAAAAAATAAAAAAATTTAAATATTTTTTTGTTAAAAAGGACCATTTAATATGATCCCAGTATTCAAACTACATTAAATCGACTGTTTACGTTGATTAATAATAATTGCTCCAAATACTAAAAAACTGAATTTTGTGTGTGTATTAGACAGTGTGGTAAAAAGTAACACTTTATAAATTTTATTTTATTTTTTGACGAATGCTTATTTATAAAAACAGAGACGTTCATTTTCATAAATTATTATTATATTTATTTCTGAGCCAAATTCACATTTTTATTTAGAATACTTTATTAATTAAAACAATTTAAAAGTATGTAATTATTTAATTGGTATACTCTTTCACAAAGATTTAAATAGTTTTTTTTGTATACCAATGGGCTTGTAATACATTTTGTACATATATGTTGCTTTAAAAAAAGCTGAAATGTCAATATTCCATGGGTATAGTGATAATTGAGGTCTAAATTATAAGAAAATGCATTTTCTACAAAAACTTGAAGAGATGAGTAAAAAATGGTATAATACAATTTGATAGACAATTATATTGTGCATCTGATTCACGTAAAATATATAGGGTGTTCCATTTAAATTAAACAAGTTATTGCCGTTTAAAGCTAGTAATTATTTAATATACATTTTTGGACACTCCGTATAAGGTAGTAAAGTTTTTATTATTGCAACACAATATCTGATCAATAAATAATCTTCAGTAAATATTTAGTATTAAAAACCATGATACCTTTGGAGAAATGAAGCCTTAAAATTTTTACTGCAATTTCATAAAATTGAAAATATTTCAAAAACGGTAAGGTTTCAGTGTGATAAACCTTAATCAAATTTACCTTTATTTCAATCGTAGAATCCAAAAATAGAATAATATACAGGGTGTTCCATTAAAAAAAATACAACTGTAATATTTTTTACTTATTTGGGACACTCTGTATCTTGTAAAAATATTTTTAAATTGTAGCTCTAATGTCCTTCAACGAACCCAAAACTTACAATTTGTAAAAATCTAATCGTTTAGCTACAATACTCCGTGTCGTATGTGGTGAACAACCCTGTATATGTAAAATGTAGAATGTATGACCGCGACGTTACAGACCTATTATATCCCCATTTCTAGTATCATCTCAGGGCTTTGACAAAAGCCAGTATATGAGACGGTTTTACAGAGGTTAGTTCTCCATGTCTGATATCAGTCGTACCAAACTTTATGACACGGTTGTCGTCTCGGCGCACTCAGTGATGAGGTATTCTGGTGCTTCCCCATTTCCCCCACAGATTCTGCATTCGCCATTGATTCTTAGCTTCAATATACACAAGTGTTTTTTCAAAAAATATTTTTCAAGAAATTTCTTCGAGTGCCTTAAATCGTCGCAGGATAAGATCATTCGGCCGTTCCTTCTTTCCGATTGTTCCTATCTAAGATAAGTTGTACGTTTACAAGCTCTCTATAATGTTTAGCTTTCTATAAACTTTCATTTATATGCCTTAAAATCTGTACACTAATATCTCCCTGAACTGTATAATCCAAAGATAAAATAAAAAACGAACGAAGAAAGTAAATTAAATTAACTTTAATGAAATAAATGGCTAGAACATAGTTAACTATTTATTTTCATTACAGCGTGCTTCACTCGTTTTCTCAATTTCACACTGTTTCTAGGAAAAATCCTGGAAATTCTTAATCCAATATCAATTAATTTTCTTTTAAATTCTTATCTGACGGAAAAGTCAGAGATTTATTACACTCTGCGAACAATTTTATTACGCTCGAATTGAAACAATTGTGTAAACATTCAACATAATACACATAAAATATGATATTACTTTAGATTAAATTTCTACAGTATGTCCTCGGATTTTCTTTACAAGGAAAAGCTCTTTTACTATTAACATTTTGAGAAAAATGCATTCTTCATAAAAAAATTTGCTTGTTCTAAAATGGTTAATCCAGTTACTTTTGCTAAATGTTCATACCGTTTTTTCATTTCATTCTTTGATCGATGGTTATTATTAATTTTTATTAATGTCAGTTTTTGCTTCTGTTAAAGTATCACATTTTCTAATAACTATTTATTGTCACCCTTCCATTTTTACTTTATCATTTTGAAACAGCAAAAAATATGACGATAATTAAAATTCTATTAACAACAATCTATCAAAGAATGAAAACCAAATGAAGACGAAATTATATTACCATAGAAACACGTTTTAATTTTTAGAACTTACTACGGACGGAAAAAGTTTTCTTTAAACGGTATGGAAATTTGAAAACGTATAAACGGAATTAACCATTTTATACAAGCAAAATTGTTTATGAATAATGCATTTTTATGATTTAAGGATATATCGATTTATCGATTTATCTATTTATCCATTTATCGATTTATCAATTTATCGATTTATGGATTTATGGATTTATCGATTAATCGATTTATCGATTTATCGATTTATCGATTTATCGATTTATCGATTTATCGATTTATCGATTTATCGATTTATCGATTTATCGATTTATCAATGTATCAATGTATCAATGTTTCAATGTTTCAATGTTTCAATGTTTCAATGTATCAATGTATCAATGTATGAATTTATCGATTTATCGATTTATCGATTTATCGATTTATCGATTTATCGATTTATCGATTTATCGATTTATCGATTTATCGATTTATCGATTTATCGATTTATCGATTTATCGATTTATTGATTTATCGATTTATCGATTTATCGATTTATCGATTTATCGATTTATCAATGTATCAATGTATCAATGTTTCAATGTTTCAATGTTTCAATGTTTCAATGTATCAATGTATGAATTTATCCATTTATCCATTTATCCATTTATCCATTTATCCATTTATCCATTTATCGATTTATCGATTTATCGATTTATCGATTTATCGATTTATCGATTTATCGATTTATCGATTTATCGATTTATCGATTTATCGATTTATCGATTTATCGATTTATCGATTTATCGATTTATCGATTTATCGATTTATCGATTTATCGATTTATCGATTTATCGATTTATCGATTTATCGATTTATCGATTTATCGATTTACCGATT